TGTCACCTCAGGGAAGTCACACAAACTTCCTATAAACCTCAACGTCTTCACCTGTTGTCCCGAGAACTCAGCGGCAGGTGCCATACCCAGCACCGTCCCTGGCACATCGCAGGCACTCAGTAAATAAGAGCCTGTCTTCCCTCCTAGGCAAGGTCTTTTCTACACCTGAGGCTCTGTGATTCCCGCAGTCCCTTCTTCGACAGCCCCCCGCCCTGGTGTCACCCAGCCTCGGATGCTCCCAGCAATGAAGTCTCACCAGCTCCTGGCGGTCCACAGTCTCCCTGAGTTAGGGTGTAGGGAGACGTGGCTGGGGGTCGGGTAACTGAGAAGAAGGCAGAGCAGGTGTAGCCCTTGGACAAAAATCCAAGTTCTGCCTTTGACAGGGACTGAAGGCTTCCAGGTGTGTCCAGACCTGTGTCCTGATCTGAAGATGAAGGTAAAGGCAGACGGGTGACTCCCTGAACCCCTGAAGGCTCAGAGCTTCCCACTTCCCACTGTTCTTCCTGCTCCCTTTCCCTGGACTCCCCAAGGCCTGAGGCGGCCTGCCACATGCCTTGGCAGCTGAGTGTCCCTGAAGGCAGGTGGCGGAAAGAGGTGTTAGCGCAGACCAAATGGCAATGTCCAGGGAGTTAGCTACCGGGGACGAAGCCCAAGCTTCTGGGCAAGAGACAGAGCTGGTGCCACCGTGGGTGACCCCTGGCCCCTGGCTCGGCCACAGAAAACACCTCCTGGGCCTGGGAAGAACGCAGCACTTGGCCTTCGCATGCGACCGTGTTCCTGTTTCCGTTACTCGAGTACTGTTTGCACAAACCAGAAAAGATAAATGTGCGTGCAGTTCCAGGCCTCCTTTTAAATGCTGGGAAAGGATTTGGGACATTTCATCTGTGGTATCCGTGGCACTTACCAATGTCAGCTCTTTACTCGGAATAAACATGAACTCTGTGGCCCTGAGCAGGCTCTGACCCAGGCATGAGAGGGGTCGGGGGCAACATGTGTTTCTTCCCCAGCCCTCCAGCTAAGGGGACGGATGTCTGACCTCGAGACCTAGCGCCCCAGGAGGGAGTGGAGAGGGCCAGAACCCGGCAAGGCCTGCTCGTGCAGTCCTGTGTTTGTTTACACGGAGACGAGAACCCAGAGGCCGCCCTGCGCAGTGGTTACTATGACACATGGAGGAACCCAGCAAGTGAACTCCCTGGGGTTAGGGAACAAGAGACAAAAATAAGGTAATATCCATCCTCCCAGAGAAGGCGGGAAGAAGAACAGTCTGAACTGGGCCATGTACACGTGCAAGTGCGCGTGTGCGTACGCGCGCGCACACACACGCACACACACACACACACATCCGTGGGAGCATTCATGGGTCCCCATTTCTGATTTAGGAGGAGGTCAGTTAAGATGTGTTAGACTAGAGCTGCTTTGGCCGAGCAAGGGGCTGTGTAGCCTTTTCTGCAGCAGACCCCTTGTCTGTGTCTCTTTCTAGGCCCCCGAAAAGACAAACGACAGAGCTGGGGCGTGGTGTGTGCACACGCACGGGTGTGTGCGCGCGCGTGCATGTGTGTATGTGTGATGAGACGTCTACTCCCTGCAGGGCCTCTCACACATCTGCTGTCACAGAGAGGAGGCCAGGAGGGCTCGCCAGGTTGTTCTTTTGAGCTCAGGGAGAAGAACCCCCTCTTTTACTCCCTGGGGTTTTTCTAGGGGCTCAGACCAGGGAAACTGGGCCATTTCTAACCCCCTCCTGGCAAAGAGGGCCATGAGCCCCCCTGTCTCTAAGACTAATATAGCCCCTTTCTACCCACCTGACTGGTTCCACCCACTGACAATACTCTCCAAGTCGGGCCCCTAGCTGGGTTGCCCCTAGAATGAACCCCTGCCCCACTTTCCCCCTCCTTCTGCTCCCCTCCACTCCCCATCTCATTTGCCTCGACTCCCACCCCTGCCCCCAAAGGCCTGTTTCTTCTCCCTCCAACTATTTACCTTCAGTACAGAAATAAATCTGACTCTCAGAGAGGATCCTTTCTTTAAAAAGATCAGTTGCCTGAATTCCCTTGGACCAGCTGCCACATTTCTTTTCTTTGTACCTCATTCTCCTGGACTCAGGGCCAAGGACAGGCACTATTCATGGGGGTGAGGGGAGCTGCTCCTTAAGGGCCTGGCCACAGGACAGGAGGGACAGTGCTTGCCAGAGCAGAGCTGCATGGTCTGGGACATGGATGGCGTAGGCTGGGGTGGATGTGTAGGGGAGTGCAGGGGAGTGTAGGGGAGTGCAGGAGATCCACAGGAAGACCTCTGGCTGGAGCTCGGGATCCTGGGCTCAAGTTCTAGTGCAGCCAAGAGCTCCTAAGAAACCTCAGGTGAGTAATCTAGCTCTCTGAGCCTCGGTTGGCCTACCCGTCCAGTTGGTGGGAAGGGCAGACTGACTCATCTTCAGGCTGTCCTCCAGGTTGATTTATAAGTTGTGGGGGGATGGAAATGGGGCTAAGGAATTGAATTTGGTTTCCTGGTGGAAACTTGTGGAAACTTTTTTTTTTTTTAAGCTACCATGTATTAAACATTTCTTAATGATTATCAACAACACTTCCAGAAGGATTTCTAAGCATTTGACATCAGTGAATTTACTTGCCCCTCACAACAGTCCTAGGAGGTAGGTGCTATGATTTCCCCCATTACACAGACTAGGAAACCGAAACACAGACTAAGTAAGGAGCCTGAGGAGCTTAGCTGAGATTCAAACCAGGCAGTCTGGCCGCAGAACCCCTGCTCCTCATCACCACGTTCCACATTCCAGTCGCTTGCGACGTGTTTGCCAAATCCTCTCCATCTTGCTGTTGAGAAATCTGAGCCTCAGAGCACTTGAGCAACAGCTGAAGGTCACACAGCTGGGAAGCAACAGAGATGAGGTTCCCAGTCAGCCTGGCTTCAGAGGTCTGCTCTCTCCCATCCGCTTCCCATAATCCTGCCAGACCCTCAGGCCCCCAAAGCCAGCTGATCTGGTATTCTTATATTGCAAAGTCTCTTTAAGCAAGTCAGTTCCTCCTTCTGGGCCTCAGTTTCCCCATCTAGAGGCTGATTGGGGTGGGCCAGCAGATCCCTGTGGTCCCTTGCAGTCCTGTGAATCCATGATTCTTGAGGTGTGGTGCTTCTGGCTGTAAGGGCAGAGGTGGGCCCTGGGGGTGCAGCTAGGGAGGATGGGGATGGAGAGAAGGGGAAAGCTACAAGAGACAGGACGGGGGGCAGTGGGGGCCATGAAACCAGTTCATGGGAGCAGTTGTATGAAGCAGATGACAGAAAGGGAGAGAGAAACCTTGGGTGCTGGGGAAGGGGGGCTCCCCAGTGAGTTTGTTCCTTCTTCCTAGGGGTCCCCCAAAGTTCAGGGTAGGCCCAGGAGAGCGCTGGGCAAGGGAGCAGGGGCCAGGCCAGCTATGACCCGAGATAGAGCAGTTTGGGGAATTAACATGGCTGGGGTTCTGTTGTCTTTGTAAATACTCGGAGATGTCCAGTTATTTTAGAAAAATGTATCTGAAGCCGAGATGGCGTTTGTGCGGTTGGCCTGGCTTCCAGTTCATGAGTGTGCCCTTGAATTCCTCCATTCAGGAACGGAGGATCGGTTTCCTGCCTGTACCCTCATTAGGATGTACATACCAGTGGGCTCCATGCTCCTCTCGGGGACCCCACAGGCGCTCTGGGGTCCTCCCCACACCCCACACTCATGCACACACATCTGTAGCTGCATGTTTTACTACTCAGCGCTGCTGTGGAAAGCACGACTCCCCCCTGCCTGCACCCGGGCCAGTTTCCTTTTCCCCAGGGCATGCTGGCCAACAAGTCGTGCCCAGTGCAGCCCACGGAGGAGACAAATGTCAAGTGCTGAGGACCAGAGAGAATAGGCTGCGTTACCAAGCGGGCTCTCTGGAAAATGTATACTATCACCTTTACCCGAGTATCCCCTCCCTCTCGCCCCCTGCCAGGCCCCCAGCTCTCGCTGTGCTGGGCCCTTCAGCTGCCTCCTCGTGCATCACAGCTTTGGGCTAACCTCCTCTCTGGCTTGGAGGAGTCAGGGTTCCGGGGAGGCATCCAGAATCCCAGGGACATGGATCTATGTTGTGGTCAGTGGCTGTTCCCCGATCCCTGCCCCTCCGTGATGGGTCACTGGACATCGGCTATAACTGCAACGGTGATCTGTAGGGATGGGTCGTGGATGAACTTGGCTTCCAAGCAAAGGGTGCAACCTATCACATGGATGCCATGCCCAGCCTCCTTAATCCAGCATGCTGTAGTCTGGGTGCCCAGGGGTGGAGGCAGCCCTCCCTCTAAGAACCATTGTGGGGAGCTTGAAGGGACTGACAAAGGGTTATGGGCTCTAGTTACAGACCGAGCAGGGACGGGACGAGCTGACCAGTGAGTAAATGTTGCTAAAGGTGATGGAGAGCTCCCAGCCATTGAAGTTTTAAGGACAGCTTGGCTCTCTCCAAAGTTCAGCTCATGCCACATCTGTGGGTCACTGCTGATGGCACAGGCTTGGGTCCTCTCCCACGAGCTCTGGAAGGGCATTTGCAAGTTGGGCACCCTGTGCTTTCCCTCCCCCTCCCTCTTTCAGCCTTCTGGGATGGTGTCACAGGAGGGGCTTGGAGCATAGCTTGGCAGACCCCACGGCTCTGATCATCTATCAGAAATGAAGCCCAGGGAGAGCAGAGAAGAGGAGGTGGTCGGGTAGGAAGTAGGGGCTTGCAAAACAGGGACATACCCATTTGCCATTTACCGAAAATGTTCCCCATTTCTTTTAAAGCTGTTGTTTCCGCAAAGGAAAACTTGTATTTGTCTGTGAGTAAACTGCGCTGTCTTAATGAACTGAAAGCAGGACAGGATGAGCGTTTTTTTTGTCCCCATGACTAAGAACAAAGAGCAGCTCACTGGCCTTCAGCAGTCAGTACTGTCACCACTCCTCCACCCCCTGTCCCGGTCCCAAACCTCTCTGCCTGCCCTCTCCTCCTTCGGAGCAGAGCTGAGACCCGAGAAGGGCTCGCCGCACGTCATCTGTGCCCCAGAGTCCTGGCCGGGAGCGTGGTTTTGGCCCAGGCAAGGCTGCTGGCTTGGCCCGCAGGAAACACCACGCCCCTCCCTGAGGAGAGCCTGGGCGGGCAGCGGCCTGATGAGAGGTGGCAGGCACTGGGCAAGTGTGGTTTCAGGGAGGTCTGGAGCCTGCCATTCCTTGGTGGCTCAGATGACAGTGGAGAAAGAGACGGAGGGAGGAATTCAGAGATTTTGACCCGCTGTCCTCCCCTTTCCCTGCCAAGCCGAGAAGTCTCCCCACCATCTCAGGTCTCAGAGACAAAGCCTTATTTTCTGGAAGACCTTGCCTTAACCCTTTACTCTCAGGGAGGATGTCTTCCTGGGTCAGAAGGAGTTTCATTCAGAGGACTTGCCAGGCGTCCTTCTCTGGTCCACCTGTTACCAACTCTCCCTTCACTCCAAGTGCAGACTGTTTTCCCACTTCCACTCTTGGTTCTTGGTCTGGGGGACAGCAGCCTTGGTTTTGGAGTGTCTCAGGATTTGGCGCAGCTTTTCGGTCACAACGCTTTGGAACCTGGGTGGAGGTAGTTAAGGCCAGGGGTCTGGGCTGCTGCACGTCCTCTCCCCACGAGACAGAGCTTCATGGCCAGGACTGCCTTTCCCTCTGCAGCTTTTGGAGCCCGAGTCTCCTGCTGCCCGTCCGGTTCCCAGGGCACCAGGGCCCTGGGAGAGGTCCCTCTCGTCCGAGTGGAGCGCCACCTACGGGGAGAAGGTGGTGGTGGTCTCAGCCTCCACGCTCATGGAGGAGCGCCGGGTGTGGCGGCAGGAAGACCACTGGCGGAGCCGTTCCTGGCTCAGGCAGCCCAAGTCCTTGAAGAGCTTGAAGAGGTCGTTCCTGAACTTGACACCAATGAAGGCATACAAGAAAGGGTTGACGCAGCAGCGGACGCAGGCCAGGCTATAGGTGACGTCATAGGCAATGTTGAGCTGCTTACTGAGCTCACAGCTGCCGCTGCCCGTGATATTGAAGTTGGCCACCGTCTGGGCTAAGACCACCCCATTGTAGGGCAGCTGGAAGGCGATGAAGACCACGACCACGGCGATGATGACCTTGATGGCCTTGTTGCGCTCGAAGTTGCGGGCCTGGAGCAGGGTGCGGATGATGACGAGGTAGCAGAAGCTCATGGCCCCCAGGGGGATCAGAAAGCCTACCACCATCTGGGCCACCTGGATGGTGATCAGGTCTTCCACGTGCTCCGTGACGAGGGAGCACCGCAGGGCTTGCTCGCTGCTGCTTTTCTGGAGGCCGCTGTACAGCAGCTCTGGGGTGGACAGCACCATGGCCAGCATCCAGATGCCCACGCAGGACAGCTTGCTGATGAGGAGAACGCGGGCACGGTGGCGGTGGGCCGAGACGGCCTGGACAATGGCCACATAGCGGTCAATGCTGATGCAAAGAAGCAGCAGCATGCCGCTGAAGAAGCTTATCTTGTAGATGCCGAAGATGATCTTGCAAACGTGCACACCAAAGATCCAGGACTTGGCTGCGCTATAGGCCCAGAAGGGAAGGGTCAGGAGGAAGAGGATGTCGGCCATGGCCAGGTTGAGTAGATAGGTGTCGGTCATAGTCTTGAGCCTCTTGAAGTAGATGTAGGTCAGTACGACCAGCCCGTTGCCCAGCAGGCCCATGAAGCAAATGATGGTGTACATGAGTGGCAGGAACCAGGCTTTAAAGTTCCGCACGTCTTTCTTGAAGCATACGGACTCGTAGAGAGTGTAGTCCACAGTGGTATTGTCTCCGATGTAATCATCGGTGACCTCATCTTGGCACAGGCACACCTGCGGGGGAGGGAACAGGGCAACGCCATCCAGTTTAGCCAAGTGGGATCCAGCTCAACTCAGCTCACCTTGAGGCCCCAGGATTGCCCAGAGCAGTCGTCCCCATTAGGGGCATCACCCACAAAGCCTGCAAATTCTTGGGCCCCACCTGGGACCTACGAACCTGGAATCTATGGGGGTGGAGCCCTGGGATCTGGTTTCCTAAACTTCCCAGGTGGTTCCCTGGCTTAAAACTGGTGCCTCCCAAAATTTAACATGCACATGAATTACCTGGCGATCTTGTCAAAATGCGTGTCCTGATCAGATAGGCTGGGACCCGAGATTCTGCACTTCTAGTAAGTAGCAAGGGTCTGTTCTCACCAACTCAGAGAGGCTTGGCATTATGTGCCCTGACAGTGGACTGGAAATCATCTGGGCTTTGAGGTCTCATGAGCCTCGGGCCACATAAACACACTTTATCTCTGAGCCTCAGTATCCTCATCGGTGAGATGGAGACGACTCTAATCTCCCTCCATGGCTGGGGTGAGGTGCTTAACCTTGGTTCTGGTGCCCAGAAACTCCAGAAGAGGAGGAACGTGTGTCTTTCATCTTGAGTCTCCTTTTAGAATCTGCTAGAAAGAGTTTTCCAGGAAGCCTGCAAAGTACTTCAGCTTTTGAGGGGAAATCCATGTCGGGGTTCAGGTTGAGGAGGGCCTGGAGCCAGAAGGCAGATACTCTGTTAAGAAGCCTCAAAACCCTGGTTTGGGGCAAGCTGCTGTGACCTTGGGTGATGAGTGACTTGCAAAATTCTACGGATCCCAGGGCCCGAGGTACGGTGCCCCGCACGAAGCAGGGGCTCCGGCAACATGTGCCCAAGGGCACTGAACTGTACAGCTATGATAGGGTGGAGGGTGCCCTCCTGGGCCACTGCCTCCTCAGCTGTGATGGAGTCCTCCCTGCATCCCTAGGAAGAGCATGGGTCTCCGTTGTCTCCTACTCTCCCTTTGGGCTCCCACCCTCTCCCCCTACCTCTCTGTGTCTCTCTTCCTCCCAGTCTCTTCCGGCAGATCCCAATCAGCCGGGCTCAGCAGCTCAGGATCTTTTTTTTTTTTTTTTTTAGCCCGTTTGTAGGCCAAGCTGAAGTATCAGGCAACCTGTTGTGATTTTATCAATGAAGGAGGGCATGCGCCCCTGCACCCCTGTGCACAGGGACAGCTGAGCCTCTGTAGGCTGGCAGCTGGGCTTCGGGGCTGCCTGGGGAAGCTCATGGCCCCTCCTCTGGGAACTGGGCTCTGGGCAGCTCACAGTGATGGGTTTTCATGCACCTGGGGAGCTGGAGGGACTTTAGAGATGAGGAAAGGGAGGGTTTTGGAGAACTTTGTTCAAGGTCACACAGCCGGAGTGGATCCCGGTCTCTTTCCCACATCCTGTCTCTCTGTCTTTCTCACTTCCAAATCCTGAATTTATCACTGTCACAGAACGAGGACAAAATAATATTCAAGAGCCTTTTCTCTGGGCACTGCTATCTTGAGAAAAGTTAGCGGCACCCCCCTTTCCCCTCATCTGGGCATGACTGCAGCCTGGGGTTCCTGAAGAGGCTGGCTGCTCTCAGCCTTAACCCATGGTAAGTCTCAGGGTTATAAGTCTGGAGTCCCCGGACATAAGGGGGGTATACCCAGCCTTTATGAAGAGTGCTCCCCACCAGCATGACCTGCCCTCTTTTTTCTCCCTTTACTACTTCCGGACTCTGGGCCACTAGGCATGATGCCTCTGCAGCCCACAGCTCCACCACATCCTGCCCCGTCTGAGCCACCCCCATTCCCCCAAGTAAAGAGAAGAATGAGCCCCAGCTGTCCCTCATCCCCTCCCCAATCTTCCATTCTCCACTTCTAGCAATACAGCCCCTCCCAAGTCCTGAAAGAGGGGAGGGAGTGGTGATGGGGAAGGGGGCCAGGCTGTGGGCTGTGGCCCAAGCTCCGGGGGGGCCTCTGGGATGGGGTTTTGGGAACAGTGCCCAGCTTGGGGCCTGCCTCTGGCCGGAGCTCCTGGAAAGCTGCCCCTCTGGCCTCCAGACTTGGGGAAAAGCCAAATTTTGAAGGCCTGCCTCTCCAGCTTTGGACTTGGCCTCCCCCTCCCCCTCCAGAGAGCTCCCACCCCCAACCAATGGAAGAGAGTAGACTATGAGTTACAGTTTCTTCTAACTCCAGGGCTCAGTGGGGCCAGCTTTCCTGTCTGCATTTCTGGGACTGAGAAGCAGAACAGTGTAAACTGGGGGACTTGGCTCCTGCAGAGTTTGGGGACCTATAAAGTATGTACACTACCCTACCCCCAGTGTCCTGGGCCCCATGCTTTCTTCCCTCCCCACTAAGTGGGGCTCAGATGGGCCTCTTTATTTCATAGAAGGGACTGGGGCCTCCAGAAGAGGCTTTGGCTGGACACCGGGGGCGGGAGACAGCTTTGGGGTAATAGGATCGTAATGATGCCACCAGACCACATGTTCTCTCGACTCATGTATGAAGTTTTGCACGCACGGCTGTGCACACACATGCACAGACTCCAGGAAACTCACAGCCGTTGCTTTGTGCCGTTCCCCTTGACAGACTCAGACGGAGCCCGCATTTCTGTATCCCGAATGGGGACGGTGCAAGTGCGGTGGGGGAGAAGGTGGTATCTTATTTCCCCTGTGTTTTAATTTAAGCGGCATCCAGGACGTTTGGAGACCATGTGTAGCTTGTAGGGTCACTCAGCAGATGGAGAGGGGCAGCCACCGGCTTAAGGAACAGCGGGTGGGTTTGTGTCTGGGTCTCTTTCTTTATAGCAAGTGCCCCCCTCCTCCACCACCAGGATTCTGGGGGTGGGAAAGGGTGGGCTTGGGGAGGGGGTATGGGGGAGGGAACAGAGCTTTTGATGGGCGCAGATCTCACCTGGAAAATGACAAGGAGAGCCACCACCAGCAGGCTTTTCATTGGTTTCCCTGCAGGAGACAAGGTGAGAAAGTTACTGCTTGGCAGGGGCAGCTCTTTGTTAGGAAAGAAGGCCTCAGGGAGGGGTGGGGGCACTGTTGGGAACTTTCCCCACAAGCCCCAGGCACCTCGTTTGCCTGGAACATCAGAACCAGATTGTGCCTTGAAGCACCTGGCTGGCTGCCCAGCCTTGCCGGCCCTCACCTCCTCTTAGTGGGATCAGAATGCATGGCAGCCCCTGCTTCCCACCCCCTTCCTGGCTCTTCAGAGCATCTTCTGGAATTGGAAAGCTCACTCTGGCCCACACTGCCCCTCAAGGCTGAGTTTCACCTGACCCTGACTCCTGGGTTTGAGTGGCCCCTCCCACCCCAGGTTGTGTGGGAAGCAAGGCCTTGAGGGGGGTGATGGTAACTCTGTGTGTGTGTGTGTGTCCTGCACTGCTCCTTGCCAGTAGCCATTGGGGAGCATCTTTCCTGCATCCGGGTGAGTGGGCAACCCCATCTGTAGCCCAAGTGTCCTCTGGGTGAGGCCAGCTGAGGAGACAGGCTGATGCCACAGGGCTAGGTGGAGGAGTGAGGTTATTTCCTGGCATCTCAAGGACGGTAAAGTGCTTCGGGGACCCACCTGCTCCCCACAACCCCTCATTCAACTGACAATCATTAAGGCCAACTTGTGGTTTTCTTGGCCTACACCCTCAGCCTGTCGGTGAAGCAGGGACCTCTTCCCTTTCACCCAGTGCAGGCCCGGAATGAAGACGGCATCCAGGAACTGTGGGTTGATGAGTGAATGAACGAGTGAGTGAGTGAGTGAATGAATGCCCCAGCTTCTCCTTCTTCCGGGGAAGAGAGCGCCGGGGTGACCTGAGGGGACGCAGTCCTAGGACGGTATGGTACGATAGAGACTATTCTCCGAGGTAACTACTTTTTTTGCTTGACTGAAGTGTGTGTGGGTATGTTTGCTCTTTAACTTGTTTCTAATCTGGGGCCTCTCAAGATGTGGGAAAAGGGAAGACACTCAGCCATGGGAGGGGAGCCTGCCCGGCCTGCGCAGAGCAGGGTCAGAACCTGGGTACATTCTAGAAGTCAGGAGGCTCTCTTGAGTCTGAGCAGCGGGTTGAGACCCCAGGTTAGCACAGGCCTGGTGAGCTGCCGACAGAGGATGGGGCCTTGGCCACTCAGTTCTGCTTTGTGGCTGAGGTGAGGGCTGGAGTGGGAACTTACTTCCTCTGAGGGCTGAGCAGGGAGGACAGTGCACGGGGTAATTTATGTAGCAGTCTTATCTCACCTAACCTCTGGGAGCACCCAAAGGACAGGAGTTGTGCTTTCTGACCTTTGTAGCCCCCTCCCAGGAACCTGACCCTCAGCCTTCTAGCCAGGGCCTGGCCCACAGCACAATCAGTAACTAGGATGCCACAGATGAATGCCTAGGCAGGACTTGCAGGCCGGTCACACCTCCAGTCTCAAAAGGGACAGGGAAATGCTTGGGACTCCGCTTCAGGCACCTTCTGGAAGCTGGGGACCCTCTTCCTGAAAGCAAGGGGTTCTGCTTCTCACGAGGGAGCGGATTGCCAGGGATTCTCTGTCCTTGGCTACAGCGCCACCTGCTGGAAATCTCTCTGCACGACACCCAATTTACTGCACGCTCCAGGTGGAGTGCCTAAGGCAGGGGATTCTGGGCTTGGGGGCGTTCCTGGGCCAAGGAGGAAGAGCCTCAAGCCACAAAAATAAATACATAGTTTTCCCACCTCAGGCAAGTTATATTGCACACTACTGCTAGACACTTTCTAAGGCAGCGCTATGATGCCAACCCCCACCAGGCCTCCTAAATCCTGAGGACCTCTCCCTCCAGCCCTACAGAGGAAGGCCCTGAAGCTTAGTATGGCGGTCAAGCCCCTCACTGCCTGCCTGCACCTGCCTTCCTGGCTATGTCTTCTCTTTCTGAGGACAGGCACGCACTGTCCCATTGTCCCCGGCTTGCCCCTGTGTATCTGCAGTCCTAGGTAGGAATAGAGGACTGCGCAACGTCCTAGCTCCCCCTCCCATCCCCCTCCCTCATCGAATTACCGTGGGAGGCCGCCCTCAAGCCCACATCTCTATCTTCAACACGCTTTTGTCAGGGTCCAACGCACCGCCCATTCTCCACTGACTCATCTTGGTGTGAAGTGCTCGAGGTTTCTTTAAACAGGCACAAATCTTTCGTTACTCTAGAGAAAGCCCACTTTGACTGTCAGTGAGAACCGAGAAACCTCAAAGTTTTGATAAGTCACAACGGGTAGATGCAAGGAGTAAGAACTGTTTCTATTTCACTCCATCAACCCCTTCCCTGGGGGCCCTGTCCCATTCCTTTGCCCCTGGTGGAGGGGAGGGGAAAGGGGTTGAGACTAGGCTATGTGTGTGTGTGTACAAGATTTCTCATTCCAGGTGTATTGGAAACGGTGGATGAACAAGGATCCGTAGAACCAAAACAGGCTGTTTTCAAGAAAGGTAACCAAATGGGAATTTAGGGGAACTCTGGTGTGTGGCAGGAGCCTGGTCAGTGGCCATGAGTCAGATCATTTCTGTCTGTTACAGAGTCATAAAGCAACAAGCCTTGGGCAGCAGCTTGGGTGAGGCCACTGAAGTTGGGAATCTTAGGGGCTGAGATGTGGATGACTTATATGTTGGGTATTTTCTGAGTTCTTGGGTTTCTAGTAATAATCATAATGAGAAGAAAATTTCCTAGAACTCCAACCTGAGCCCCCAGCAAGGAAAACTGCTTTCCTGTCTGGGTGGAGGGATTGCTGGTTGGTTGCTCTTCCAAATCCCTAACTTTCATCCCCACATTTTCCAGACCCTCTAGGGAATCATGGGTACCCATTTAGCTGGCCCCAAAAGCCACCCCAAAATTTTTCCTTTCTGGAATTCCTCACCTGCCAACACAACTTTTTTAGGGGAGGCAGAAGAGAGGGGGAGGGAAGAAGCCGGGCAGGGGTAAGGAAATTTGGAGAGAAGGTGAGAAGCCTGGGGGCTCCCCTTTCAGACAACAGGCAGGAAGATAGGACAGCTAAGGGAACCTTGCAGTCCCTATGATATCAACTTCTTTACCCAGTGATAGAATTCAAATTCACTGAGCTCTCACTATGCACCAAATCGTTCCATGTATGATCACTGTCATCATGGTAGGTAGGTACTACTATAATTCCCATCTAAGACTGAGGAAACTGAAGCACAAGAGATTAGCAAATTTCCCAGAGTCACACGGTTGGCTAAAAATGGAGCTGGGCTTTGAATCCTTCAGTTTCCAGAAACCACATTCCTAAGCCATCTTTATGCTGCCTCTTAGTCTTTCTGTATCTCTCCCTCATAACATCCTGTGAACGATGCCTTGTGATTCTCATGCTATTCCAAAAAACAGTGGCCCAGAGAGGTTAAGCCACTTGCCCAGTGTCACACAGCTGCTAAGAGATGGCTCTGAGATTTGATTGGAACTCTCACTACCTGTGTTACCTTACATTTCTCTTGAGTCCTCTATGTCTAGAGACCTCCATGGAGCATGATGAGAGTCCTCACTTTCCCACATTGTGTGGGTCATCTAGCTCTGTTGCTCCTGTCCCCTATCATCTCAGAGTCGGCCCCACCTCTGTCCTGACATCAGACTTTCAGAGTTCCTTCTGAAATGCAGCCCACATCCCTTAACTCACCTGACTGAAAAAGAAAAATCTTCACTGGCTCCCTATTGCTTTCAGGACAACCTCTCAGCAGGGCCACACAAAATCTTGAAGACTGGTCCTTCCTGTGCCTCTTGCCTCCCTTCTTACCTTCCTCCTTGGCGTGGCCACGTTCTTTACGCCTCCTTCCACTTGCTCCTACCTTGTTTCTGTTAGCTTTTGTCGGAGCTGACTGACGGGGAGTCCACAGGCTGAGCCCCCACGATGTTCTGCTTGGCTACATTGGATTTCCATTTGGATGACTTTCGGTGGGGCTTGCCTGCTCTGGTTCACTCTGCTCCCCTCCACTTACTACATCTTGTGTCCCTTCCCTCATTTGCTTTGTTGGCCCCTGATGGAAACCGAGTCTGCTCTCCCTGCCACCTCCCGCCTCCCTTGTTCCTCCTTGTCTGGTTTGAAAGCTTGGACATGCCTTTCAAAACCCAACTTAAATGCTCTTCCGACCCATGTTCCATGGTCACCACTTTTCTCTGGAACTTTCCACGTGCCTCACGGAGACCCCATGAGCACTATGTCTCCCCCTGTCTCAGTGGCTTAGGCACCTGGGTGACTCTCTCCCCACAAGACTGGTCATGACCGAATTCCCCCATCAATGAGAAGTGACTGGAAGAAGGTACCAAAGAGACCAGATTTTCCCAACAGCTCCCAGAGGCTGCAGCGCTCCCTTCCTTCCCAGCCATGCTCCCAGGCCAGGAGGCTTTTGCTCAGCATTCTTTTACCTTCCCTCTGCCACCATTTCAGACCAAGCTATGACACATAAGTCTCTCACAGGCTTATTTTTTCTTTTCTCTGTTTTGGAGAATTCTGAGGTCTTAAGACTCCTCTCTCAAAGGTGGGAGGGTGCCTGGGGCTGCTCATTCAAATCATGAAAGAGACCAGCTCAGCCCAGCTTCAGCTTTGGTGTTTTCATTTTGTGTAACAGAAACTCTGCTTTTTCACCCACCTCTTGCTCCCTACTGGGCAGACGGAGAGAGAAAAACAGATCGTTCATGGCCCATCCGCCCCACCAACGGCCCTGAGTCTGTTCTGAGCAAAGCTTCCCTCAGTGGCTTCCCTTCCTACCAGTATTTCAGGCTTGGCCGTTGGGGCTCTCTCTCTCGAGTTGAGTGAAGCGGGCGAGAACATCCCTTTCTCCCAAACCAGAGGTTGCCCTCCCTCCCCGCATCAAAGCCTGTGAGGCTAGCACCCCAAACCCAGGTCTGGGGGAAGACCCTCAGTGGTGGCCCAGAGTTGGTTCTCAGAGGCCCGTGGAGCCATGGTGCACGGCCCTCCCTGACTCTCTATTCAGTCATTTCAGGCCTTGAATTGGTCTGAGGCTTGAAGTCAACTGTGGCGGGAGAATTTACACTATGGAAACTGCCAGTCAGCTCCCCTCCCGCTCCACGGGAGCAGGTTTCCCAACATTTCCCAGCACCCCACGGGGACACACAGAGGTCATATAGATCTCCCTCCCGGAGGTGCCACAGGGAGTCAGGAACCAGTCCTCAATGGGCGATGGCCTGCATTCTGTGACTGTGGTAAGTGGCGGGGGGGGGCGGGGGTCTGGGGAGTGGGATTGGGGAACAGTCTGCTGGGAGGAGAGGATGTCGGAAGAGATTTTTAAAAACTGAAATCAACTCAGAGTTGTTGATGTCATTCATTCATTCATTCATTCATTCATTCCACAAACTCTCTGCTCATACCCCCAAAGCCTCTGAGATGGAGATGCAAGGATCCGGTCCCACCTGCCAGGCATTCCAGTCGTGGGTCAGGTGGCTACTTTAACCCATTTACAGAGGATTGCTGGGTCCACCTGGGGTTCTGGGTAGGCCAGGGGAGGGGGTAGGCAGAGTAGAGGCAAGAGGCTGTGGTGCGGTGGGAGGAGTGTGAGGACAGCACAGGGCGCACCAGTGAACCTTCACTTTTTAAAGGCAACCTCTTGCGGCTTTGAGGCTGCCGTGGTGCTTCGCTTGCTGGTGAGAATGAACCATCCAGGAACTTGGCCTCTGTAGCCTCAGCCGGGTCTGACTTCGTAGCCGAGATTTACACATGGGGTGTCTGGAGCTGGACGTACCCCATACCCCTCACAACCCTCTCAAAGCTTCTTTTGTAATCCCTCTCATTAAGACCAAGTTTCGATCAGAGGACAGGCTTTTTAAAGGGATGAGTCATTGGCCAGGGCAGAAAACGTGAAGTGGGCTATGACTTCTCCAGGCTGAATGCCCCATTGTTGTCCCATTTCCTGTTGCCCACCCAGCCTTTAACCTGCATGGGGCGGGAGCCAGAGGGATGTGGAGCCTGCTTGCGTTTTTCCTACCCCCTACTGCATACCCTAACCTTCCCTTTGCTCCTAAGAGCACGGAGCTTCTGATCCCTGCTTAGCAGGCGAGAAAGGTAGAAAGCAGAGGGAGGACGAGGAGTGGAGGGCCCGGAGCCCTCTGAGGACTTCTCCCCTGAAGAAACAGGTCCCAGGGAGCCTCACCCATCACCCCAAGCGGAGATGAAGACAGGGTCCATCCAGATCACCACCAACCCCAGACCTGCAGCCTTCTCCAGTCCTCACTTTCTAGGAAGACACCATCTCGCCACCCCCACCTCCCCCTGTCTTTCCTGGTGCCAGTGGTCACCCCTTTCCCCAGCTCTGAAAGGTGCATCTGTTGTGCCTGGGAGAACAGGGTGGCTGATTCTCACCAGGACAGACCCTGATTAGTTGGGAGGCTCCCCCGTGCTTTCCATCCCCCTCCTCCACCTCCATTCCACGGGGTCAGGCTGGATGTCAGAGTGACCTCGTGCTGCTCTTTCCCACATGGGGAGGCTCACTCACCCAGGTCCATGACACTCTCTGGGCAGTTGAAACCACACAGGAAGGCTGTGCCGGCTCTTGAGCTCCCACTGTCTGGGGAGGAAGTGCTTTTAAGTTCTGAGAGGAGCCACCCTCTTCTCTGCCCCTCCTACCCCAGCTCCTTCCTCCAATCCGACCTCAACCGCGGCCCCCACGGTGCCTTCTAGAACCAAGGGGTATGAGAAGGTGACAGTGACAGCCCACTCACTGGTCATAGGATCATGAATCATCAGGTTATTTATATTGAAAAAGCCCCCTGTGTAGCCCAGCAGTTAAGGATCCCAACCCAAGGCAGGAGAATTTGGGCCAGTTATTGATTGGACACATGTTTAATCCTGAATACCTCGGGCCAGGGCATCAGAGGTGAACGAGGGATTCCGTGTCACAGAAAACTACATTTCCCAAACCACTTTGTCCTCCAGCTTCTCAGGTAGATTTGGCCAGTGGGAGGAACTGACAGATGATGGAAGGTAGAGGAGAAGGGGGATGTCAGAATATTTCGGACAGCTTTATTGAGATAGAACTCACATTTACATATATATAATTCACCTTTTTAAAGTGTACCAGTCAATGGTTTTGTATATTCACAGAGTTGTGCAAACATTACCACCATCAATTTTAGAAGATTTTTTAATTACCTCTTCCCATTTGTTAGCAATGACTCCCCATCTCTCCTCCAACCCTGTCCCCAGGCCCTGGTCGCCACCACCAATCTTTCTATCGATTTGCCTTTTGTAGACACTTTGCATCAATAGATTTTTATATATGGCCTTTATGTCTTGCTTGTTTCACTTAGCATCCTGTTTTAAAGGTTCATCCTTGTTATAGGTTAATCCACATCTCATAGCCTCATTGCTTTTCATGGCCCATTAATATTCCATCGTATGGATATACCACATTTGGTTTATTTGTTATCAGTTCAACATTTGGATGGTTTCTACTTTGTGGCTCTTATGAATCATGCTGCTATGAACAGTCATGTACAAATTTTTGTGTGGACAAATGTTTTTATTTCTCTTGGGTACATACCTAGGAGTGGAATTGCCGGGTCATATGGTAATTCCATGTTTAATGGTTTTATTTATTTATTTATTTATTTATTTATGAGGGAGAGCACACCTAAGGGTGGAGGGGAGGGGCAGTGGTAGAGGGAGAGAGAAAATCTCAAGCAGACTTCACACTGAGCACAGAGCCTGGCATAGGGCTTTATCTCATGACCCCTGAGATCATGACCTGAGACGAAATTAAGAGTTAGATGCTTAACTGACTGAGCCATCCAGGTGCCCCCAATGTTTAACATTTTGAAGAACTGTCAAGCTATTTCCCAAAGTGGCCTCATGATTTTATATTCTCATACACAATATATAATACGGTTCAATATATGAAGGATCCTTGAAAAAACCTGTTATTGTCTCTTTGATTCTAGTCTTCTGGTGGTTATGAGATGGTATCTCATTGTGGTTTTGATTTGCATTACCCTAATGACGTTGAGCACATTTTCATGTGCTTATTGACCATTGCTATATTTGAAGAAACATCTATTTAAGTCACTTTCCCAGGATGCCTGGGTGGCTCAGCTGGTTAAGCATCTGCCTTCTGCTCAGGTCATGATCCTAGAGTCCCAGGATTGAGTCCTGCGTCGGGCCACCTGCTCAGCAGGGAGTCTGCTTCTCCCTCTGCCCTTCACCCCACTCGTGCTCTCTCTCACTCTCTCTCTCTCAAATGATAAAAATAAATAAGATCTTTAAAAATAAATAAATAAATAATTTGCCCATTAAAAAAAATTTTTTTTTTATTGTGAGTTTTTAAGAGTTCCTTATTTATTCTAGACACAAGTCCTTTATCAGATACAGTACTTGTAAATATTTTCCTCCATTCTGTGGACTATCTTTTCACCTTCTTGATGGTGCTCTCTGACTTTAAAGCAAACAACTTTAAAATTTTAGGGCCCGGGTGCCTGGGTGGCTCAGTGGGTTAAGCCGCTGCCTTCGGCTCAGGTTATGATCCCAGGGTCCTGGGATCAAGTGCCACATCGGGCTCTCTGCTCAGCAGGGAGCCTGCTTCCCTCTCTCTCTCTGCCTGCTTCTCTGTCTACTTGTGATCTCTCTCTGTCAAATAAATAAATAAAATCTTTAAAAAAATTTTAGGGCCCAATTTATTTATTTTTTTTCGTCACTTGTGCTTTTGGCAGTCTATCTAAAAATCCATTGCCTAATTCAAGTTCAAGAAGCTTTAATTAATTCTTATGTTTTCTTCTGAGAGTTTTATACTTCTAATTTTTTTTTAAGATCTTATTTATTTACTTGACAGAGAGAGATCATAAGTAGGCAGAGAGGCAGGCAGAGAGAGAGGGAGAAGCAGGCTCCCTGCCGAGCAGAGAGCCCAATGCGGGGCTTGATCCCTGGACCCTGAGATCATGACCCCGGCCAAAGGCAGAGGCTTAACCCACTGAGCCACCCAGGCGCCGCTATACTTCTAGTTTTGACATTTAGCTCTGATCCATTTTGAGTTAATTTCTGGTATCATGTTCCCTTCTATTCCCCAAATGTTGGAGTTTGTTAAATGTTTTTTTCTGTGTCCACTTTAGTTTTTTTGTGCTTTGTTCTAATAAATATAGAAAATATGTAGATTAATTTTTGTATCTTGAGCCAACCTTGAATTCCTGGGGTAAATCACTGGGTCATGGTGTATAATCATTTTTTATATGTTGCTGGATTGGGGTGTTAATATTTTGTTGAGGATTTTGCTTCTATATTTATAAGTGATAATTGTAGTTTTCTTTTTTTTTTTTTTTAAACTTTTTAAAAAAGATTTTGTTTGAGAGAGAGAGAGTGAGTGCATCAGTGTGGGGAGGGACAGAGGAAGAAGCAGACTCCCCGCTGAGCAGGAAAGCTTGATCCTAGGACCCTGGGAAGATGACCTGAGCCAAAGGCAGTGCTTAACTGACTGAGCCACTCAGGTGCCCCTGTAGTTTTATTTTCTTGCGACATCTTTGTGTAGTTGGGGTATCAGTATAAGTGTAATTAAAGATCTGTCAATTTTGGAAATCTTTTCAACATACTAATTTTTGGTCTTATTGGTTTTCCTTACTTTTTCCTATTCTCTATTTCATTTGGTTCCATTCTTGTCTTTATTATTTTTTTCCTTCTGCTTGATTCAGGTTTACTTTAGTCTTTTTTTTTTTTTTTTTCTGATTTCTTAAGATGAAAGGTTAGGTTCTTTATATGAGATCATTCTTCTTTTTTTCCCAATATAAGCATTTATAGCTATAAATTTCCAAGTACGCACTTAGCTACAACCCGTAGGTGTTGATATGTTGTTTTCATTTTCTTTTTTTTTTAAAGATTATTTATTTATTTATTTGACAGAGAGAGAGAGACCACAAGTAGGCAGAGAGGCAGGCAGAGAGAGAGGGGGAAGCAGGCTCCGCACTGAGCAGAGAGCCCGATGCGGTGCTCGATCTCAGGACCTGAGATCATGACCCAAGCCGAAGGCAGAGGCTCAACCCACTGAGCCACCCGGGCGCCCCTGTGTTTTCATTTTCATTAATCTCAAAGTATTTTCTAATTTTCCTTGTGAGTTCTTAGGCCCATTGATTATTTAAGAGTATGCTCTTTAATTTCCATGTATCTGTTGGTTCTTAAAATTTCCTTCTGTTATTGATTGTGGTCAGAGACTATACTTTGTATGATTTCAATTCTTTTACATTTCCTGAGATTCATTTCATATCCTAACATGAGGTCTGTCTTGGAGAATGTTCCATGTGCACCTTGGAAGAGGTCTTGTTGGGGGAAGTAGTCTGTAGTATCTGTCAGGTCCACTTAATTTATAATGTTGTTCAAATTTTCTGTTTCCTTATTGATTGACTGCCATGTTGTTATGTCCACTATTGAAAGTAGGATATTGAAGTCCCCAATCAGGATTGTTGAATTGTGTATTTCTCCCTTCAGTTCTGTCAGTGTTTGCTTCATGTGTCTTTGGGCTTTCTTTTTTAGGAGCATATATGTTTATTTCTGATAAAAGGGTCAGTTCATCAATTATAAACTCTTTTTATCATTATAAAATGTTCTTTGTCCCTATAATCAATTTTTGTCTTAAAGTCTATTTTGTCTGATATTAGTATAGCCTTTCAAACTCCTCTTTGGGTGTTGTTTGCATGGTCTACCTTTTTCCATGCCTAGGATGTTTCCTTCTCTGCTCCTAGAGGCATCCTCAGCAGTGGCTCCCTGTCTGTGATTCTAGAGTCCATCAGCCAGCCCCTGCCTCTGTGGGGCCAGTACCTGGACTCTAGCTCCTGCCCTAGTTTCTGGGCCCTGGTAATACTACTTTCTCCGTATGTTCCTCCAGCTCTGGGGATACTGGCAACTTCCTGCTGTTATTAATCTCTGGGTGGCCTCACCATGCACTGTTTGACTTCTCAGCTCTTCCATCACCTGGATAACTGGTTCCCTATATTAAATTGATTTTGTTTCAAATACCTAGAGTGACTCTTGTTTGCTTCAGCCCTGACTGATACAAGGTGATTCCAGTCCCCAAAGAATTTAAGGTTCAGAAGAAATTAAGGTTAAATTATACATTCTCTATAGTTAGGACCAAGACCAAACATGACATGATGCTTTACCTAAAATAAGGGAACGAAATCCCAGATTGCACAGGGCAGGAAGGCAGATGGACAAGGGGATAGAATACGGTTTCTTCTCCCCAAATGATGGACATTCTGTTGGAGTGTAGTGCAGTGAGCTTAACTCCCTGTATGATCTTGGGCAAGTTGCTTCCCTTCTCCGGGCCTTGGTTTTCTCAAGTGTAAAGGGGGAGGCTGGGCTGCTTAGCAGACGCCTAAGCTTTGGCATAGTGTAGGGCTTTCTTGTGATTGAAGTGTAGGGCTTTCTTGTGACATCCTGCTTATGGCTCAACCATTTGTGTTATCCCAAATTCCCCAAATGGAAGCATGAGAAGCCCTCACCGGATCTTCCTTTCAGCCCAAAGATTTTGACTATTTTCATCACTGGCATTTGGAGCCCATTTGCTTTTAGGGATATAGGAAATCTC